CAGATCACCAACGCTTGGGACCTCGATGCTGTTCCCCTCACAGTTAGGTCCGTCGATGCAGTCGCGGCTAGCCTCCGAGCCGGAGGGTACAAGACTGCTAAACTGCTCTTTAGCCAAGCTCGACAAGAACATGTCGCACAGACTCATACCCCAGTACCCCCGGAGGTAATCCTTCGAATGACTCAGGCGGAACGCGCTGTGGAACGAGGTCGAGGTCCGTCGAAACTGAAGGACTCCTTCTACGTCGAGGACATCGCCAGGATCTACCCGAGGGACCGCGAGTTCCCTGGACAGATGCGGTGGGCGCAATGCCTTTCGTACAGGATCGACATGGTGATCATATGCTGCTGGTGGCTACTGCGAGGGATCGAGGCGGCGTCGGTCATGCTGAACCAGGCCTGGACCGAGATAACGCACGCCGGCCGCACGGCCTTCATCGCCTTGCTGTGTACCAAGATGGACATCGTCGGATTGTGCGTCACTCGATCACACCCTTGCAGCTGCCATCGATCCCCGGCATTGTGCCCTTTCCACGCCCTACAGCGACATCTTACGAGAATGAGATCCCTCGGCTACCCCGACGACTCGCCTCTTTTTCCCGGCAGTGATTGCCAGCCACTTCAACACCACCAGACCGTCGACATCTTCCGATCAGTCATCGAAGCCACTGGGACGATGATGACCCGAAACGGTAACGGACCCAATGGGTCCGTTCTACAGCGATTTTGCGAGCATGTGTGCCGAGTCTCAGGGGCACAGATGCTTACACGACGAGGATTTCCACTTGACACAGTCCAATTGCTGGGTCGTTGGGGCAGTGATGCCATCAAGGTCTATGTACAAGAGGCGCCTTTGTATCGCGGAGACCCACGTCACCGATGCCAGGAGAACGACAAACCCGAACAGATCAAGGAGATGGTTGAGCACTACCTCGAGACCCTCCGGCAGAAGTTCTGGGTGGTGAACACGATGACGAAGATGATACACCTCCCTGGTGTTTCCGAGACTTCTACTGATAGTACACATTGGCACACGATTTGCGGATGGCCATATGGGTTCGCGCCTCACAGACGCGAATACCAGGAGCCACCCGGCCCCAAATGCAAACGATGCTTCAAGCTTCGTGAGGCACAGGAGTTCTCCGATCAGGCCATCGAGGACGACGAGTAGACCGGTTTCCGCCCAGGCGATGGATCGGTTGGACAGTATTGCACAATCACGATTCGGAAGTGGCACTGCCTTTGGCGCCGTGTGTAGTATGGTGGGATTGCCCACCGGACCCAAATTTTGGATCTTGCCGATTTCCGCCCAGGCGACGCATCGGTTAATTTGTGTCAGACCATAGGACTCCGCTCCAGGCCGAAGAACGAGGGGCGACATGCAGCCGACGTCGGGATCTGGTCCTAGTCTAGCTCACGGAACCACGACCTTCCTTATACAGACACCATGGCGGACGCCGCCCTCACAGAAGCTGCTGCCCTGGCCGGTATAGACCTCTCCACCGACTGCCTTGCCAGGTACCTACATGCCACGCGACCATCGCCGCCTATGTGCACGAGGATGCTGTCGTCAGTGACCTCATCGCCAAGATCAAAGCGGGAGTAACGGTGGGCACCACCGAATACAAGCTCGCTGACGACTCCGAGGAGAGTGCATTGAAAGCACAGTGGTTGGTATTGAGCCGACACGCCAGGCACAAATACCAGGCTTCCTTTCAGACGACACAGACCTCGAACGCCGCACCCTCTCAGCCGTCACAGACGACACAACCAGACAAGGACACGATTCCCAAATCCTTGCCAGCGGGGGTCTACTCCAAGCTCGTCGAGGATTACAACTCCATTACCCTCGACGGTGTACGCCGTGCCTTCCCTGAGAAGCTGCTGCTGGGAGCCGAGAAGGTATTGGCGAGGATGTACCACGAGCATCATACGTCCAAACTGTACACGGCTACACCGCTGCGGAAGATCATGGCACAGAGGGTCTGGACCAGCTTTAACACGATCAACTCGAACCGCAAAAAGGACTCCTCCGAGAAGAAGCTCATCTTGGACGACAAGAATCAGATCTCTGAAAAGGCACAGGAGGAGTGGGACGTAAAAGGTCAATGGATGCTCATCGACGCGACCCAGGCCATTCGTTGGGCGTGGATCTTGCTCAAGTATGACTCCGAGACTGCCATCAACAAGTACGTCGATTGGTTCCATGGAGTGATACGCAAGAATGCACAGCGGATTCCCAACGTCAAGCTCCTTTGGGAAGATTTCGCCTGGGACATTGCCAGGCTGCCATGAGGATGCGATCCACCGAAACATTCTCGGCCATCACAGAGGACCTCATGGTGGACGTCGCGAAAGTCAACGAGATCTTGCAACAGCCTTTGACAAAGAAGACCAGGTACACCAAAGGCACTGACCGTACAACAACAAGCAAGGGCAACCAACAGAAGTGGTCGCCTCCAGGCAAGGGACGACGCTACAGGACATCTTCTCCCTCGACAGCACAGACAACTTGGACACAGTGGCCGTCGCCCCCTGCGTCATGGCAGCCGCAGCCCTCCACGTGGACCTGGCCGCCAACACCACCGACATGGTCTACTCCAGCTCACACGACCCCGACACAGCCTACTCCGACCCCGATGGTACCTTTCAATCCGGCACCGATGGCCCAACCGCGACCTACTTGGTCGCAAGGCGCCGAGAAGGGCGGAAAGGGTAAAGGCAAGAAGGGCAAGTTCGGCAAGGGCGGTAAGAAATAGGGACAGCACGGCCCAGTGTCGCAAGACGCTGGAGCCGACCATCGAATCACAGACGATGACAATAGAGTGTCCACCCTTTGTCGTCGGCCACCTCCCTGTTGTCCACTTGTCCTTTTTCGATGGTATCGGTGTCTCATCCGAAGCCTTACGCCGGATATCCGACAATGTCCTGCTCACCTTGGCTTGGGAAACGAATGCAGCTTGTGCCGATTTTACACACGAGCGCTTCGGGTCGATAAAGATGGGCGACGCCGCCAACATCGACATTGACAAGGTTGTTTCCTACATCGACCAACGGCTAGGACAACAACAGTTCATCGTGCTCATTACCGCCGGTCCTCCCTGCCCAGACTTCTCTCAAGCCAAGAAGTCACCGAAAGGAGCGGCCGGGGACTCGGGATGGCTGTTCAAGCATATGATTGACATCGAGTACAACCTTCGCCTACGGTTCAAGGGGAGACCGTTCGAGACAGTCATCGAGAATGTCGTACCACATCCATCTCTTCGTGATCACTTACTCGAGATGACAGAGCCTTTGTGCATGCAACCTATTGTGCTCGACGCGGCGGACGGCGGATTGGCCCCCCGGAAACGTCTCTGGTGGACGTCCATCGACTGGCAAGACGTCGAAGCCAAGTTGTCACGGAACACGACTTGGTCTACTTCTTGGAAAACAGATGACGATTGACCGCGGCTTCACAATCCCGTCGCAGTGGATCTGCAAGCTCCGCTACAACACAAAGGTTTTTCACTCCCGACTTGTCTACAACAAGGTAATAAATTGTTTCATTGCCTTACGACGCCATCACAGGAGCTCGAAGGCCGACCCATGCCTCCTACGAACCGGTCACGACCCCTGTCTCCTTCGACTGCGCAGAGGTGGCAAGATGACCATCATCGATATCCACCGTGGCAGTACGAGGAGCGGTTCTTGACACAGTGGCCCGACGGCTCCTTTTTCTACGGCACCCACAGAACTCCGCGAGCAACTTCAGGGACTCCAGGTAGGCTACACCGAGAGACCTGTCGGGGGCGACAACACACAACGCGATGTCGCCCTGGGGAATGCTTGGCATCTTCCGACCGCTATCTGGATCCTCTTCTTGGTCCTGCTCGGTACTGCAGAAGCGGCGATACCACGATCACCACATGAGTCTGCACTGGACAAGGTAGTCAACCTTTGGACAGCGACGAGAGTTCCCTTCGGACCACCACCGCGACGGGGCGGTTGTGAGTACATGCCGCAGTTCTCCTGGACCGAACACCTGGATTGGGCCCTACATCGCGACACCAACATGACGCCCAAAGAACTCGATCCGACGCTCACTTGGTGCCTTGAACACAGACACCTCTTTCACCCGTTGGCACAGTTTCAGCACGATGTCATCTCGGAGATCAACGATCTGGTTGTGGACTTTGAGGAGCACACAATGGCTTCGTTTCATACTCTACCCCCACATGTACAACGAGCCTACACGCACAAAGACTCCGTGACACAGATCCCGATTTTGATACACTTGCTGCGACGACTAGGATACCCTCAGACCGAGGTCTTGTACCGGGAATTGTCGGAGGGTTTTCCCCTCATGGGCAAGCTCACACCAGGAGTCAACTGGCACGTCCGCCAGGATCGCAAGTACCTTCAACCTACCCCGATGGAAGACTTCAAACATAAGAACCGCGAGTACATCCGCAACAAGCTCGAGACGAACCGCGTCGATGATCATTGGGAATTCATGCTGGACGAGATATTGGCCGAAGTTGGGCCGGATGAACGGTCCGTTCAAGGCCCCGTCTTGGTGGCCCCAACCGGCAGTCGCCACATCACATCCGGGCACCGACGTCCTACTCGACCTTCCTCATGATGATCCGTTCATAGCGATGGCCTTTAGCATCGAGCAAACCGGCAGCGATGGCAAGACCAAGATTCGACGAGGTGAGGACTGGAGGAGGAGTGGCCACAACTCGACGTGCATCATGCACGATCAACCCTACCACCACACTCCCGATCATTTTGTATCCTTGGGCCTAGCCTTCCTCAAACAAAACCGCTCGATACCACTACGAGTTTGGGGACACGATCATGATGGGGCGTACCTGCAACTACCACTACATGATCCTCGACAAGCCTACGTCCTACTTTTGACACCATTCGGCCCAACCTTGTGGAGCCACAACGTGCTTCTCTTCGGATCCGCAGCGAGTGTGTGGTCGTACAATCGTTTCGGCGATGTTCTTGTGGCGTGCAGCCGGACCCTCGTCTTATCACCAGCACTCCACTACGTCGACGACTACGGCTCCATGGAAGACGAACCCTCCGCAGATAGCAGTTTCCGCGCCTTCGAGGATTACAACGGTTGTCTACAGATCTCGATGAAACCCAGCAAGCGACAACCTCCCGAAGCACAACATCGGATACAAGGCGTTCTTATATCCTCCGACACCGATAACCTCATCCTTACACCGTGCCCAGCAAGAGTACGTGCGATGACACAACAGATTGAGAAACACCTCAGCGTAAACACGCTGTGGGTTCTTCCGACGATCCGAGACTGCGCAGTCAACCCCACATCGCAGTTGCAACGATAAAATGTGTTTGGCTGCTCGGTTGCTCATTGACTTCTCGAACGGCATCGATCTGTAGGGACTGGTTTATGTATGCATGCATCATATATATATATATGTGTGTGTGTGTGTACGACTTCTACGTATGTAGGTATGTATGCATGTTTCATATTTTGCATGTGGGCATGTATTCGTGTAGATATGTTTGTAGTTTTTTTGCCGGTATGTGTGTGTGTAGATATATATATATACACACATATCAGATATCTTTATGTCTATGCATATGCATGTATGTTTATGTATGTATGTATGTATATATATATATATGTGGTGCAGCGTCGCCCACCCCCCTCCCACCCAATGGCATCCCCACATACCCCCCCACCCCCCCCATTATGCTTCCCGAGCCCCCCCAGTGGTGTGGGTGGTGGGGTTGTTTACGTGGGTTGTTCAAACCCCCTCTTTTTCTTGTGGTGTGGTGGGTTTCAGGTTTAGTGTTTAACCCCTTTCCCCCTCCCCGTGGTGTAGTGGTGGGTGTTGGGTTTAGGGTTTAGGGTTTGCACCCGCACCCCCCCTTGTGGTGTGCGTGGTGTTTAGATATGACAGGGTTTAGGGTTGAGGGTCAGCAGCTGGGCGCGGCGCAGACCGAAACAATGGCCCATCCAGGTGCGTTTCGCCACGTTGACGAAGTTGCATAGCTTCAAAAGTCACAACACTCACGAGGATCCCGGGTTCGCGGGGCCCATCCCTGTGACTGTTGGCACTTTTGAGACAAGAGTGACGACATTCACGAGGATTTCGGGTGTATACCATGGGGGGGGGGGGGTGGGGGATACCATGGGTGGGGGTGCCGACACGCGACACGGAACAGTATATGCGCATGCATATATAGATTTGTTTATGGCATGTGCACGTATGTAATGTATTTTGTGACAAAGGTGCCTTGCCATGTTTCGATATGTCCATCGTGGATGTGTCCACCGCGTGTTTTTCGCATGACGCCTTAGTCGATGATGAAGGTTTGCGAACTTTTCAAGCTGCCTTCAAATGGTTCAGGAAGCCTGTGAGAGTTGTGCATGCGCCTGACCCACACTCTCATTTGCAAGATCTGTTTATGCAACGTTCAGCCAGAAAGTGGCGATTCGATTTTCACAGCGGTCCACGACATGTAAGCATTCCATGGCCGTAAGCAGTATGACATGGCCATTAAGTTGTCGGGTGATGCTCCGTGTAGCTCTGACTGCATGCGTCAAAGTCAACATGTTTGTTTATGTCGTTGGCCAGTTGGTTCTGGGCGAGTGTATGTTCGTACGTATGCATGTATGTATGTATCTATGTATGTATGTATGTATGTATGTCTGTGTCAGTGTGTGTTTTTGTAGGTGTACTTGTTATATATGTGCACATCTAAGTATGTACATGTTTCTACATACATGTATTTTTGCTCCACGGCATTGCCTTCCCAAACGGTGGTTTCGAGCTTTGTATCTACACCGGCTTGCAGCCGGGGCGAGAGTTTACGGGGAGGGTTCCACCGGGAAATAGCGTGTGGAGCCTACGGAAACCAGCAAGAACAGGGATCCGTTTTGGGGGCCGAGCACAATGCAGATTGCTTGCAGTCAGGAGGGAGCGGCCCGGCAGTGAGGAAACCGAAAACGCTTCAGGACGTTTCCGAGGAGCGCAGAACGCCAGAGAGACGCCGTGGTGCCGTTTGCGTTGACCAAACATGACCACACCACTCGTGCTTTAAGCGACCCAGGCGGGCCGATTCGTACCGTAAAGGGACAATGGCCGAGCATTGGTATTTAGCAGCAACCCAGTCCATCCATTGTTTTTCGACATCAGAAATCAGAGCCAAGACGTGGAAATAGAAGTGGATCGTCCTGCGTGCGTGCCTCGAAGGTAGACTAATCGACACGGATGAGCACCCCGGCCTTAGTGCTGATTTGGTGCAGCCTGACGGCAATGCGCTCCCGGAAAACGAGCCTGTGATACACCTTGAAATTTGAATGTTTTTTGATTGAAGTCTGCCTTTTTATGATTTTTGTCGGCAGGTGCTTGATTCTCAACAGCCATGCGCCAGTCTAAACCACAACATGCAATTATTTCCTTACGTAAGGGATTTGGAAGGTCCTGAAGAGTGATGTTGAAATGTGCTGGATGCTTTTTTTGTACGTCGTTGAATTGAAGGTTGGAATTGGATTGTAATTTTTACGTGTAACGCCTGCATAAGGTGGCGCAAAATGGCGTAAAGTTGGCGTAAAGCATGAAGGGCAGCCGCTTTTAAAAGTGTTCCGGGTCTCAGCTTGAATCCCTTTTCTCCAAGGTGGCAAGGGTGCTTAGCAACACCAGCTTTGCGCACACCTTTGTCTTGTGCTTGGCCGAAAATGTTGGCACTGCCAGAAGGCATATGAAATGAAGACGGCGATTCTGCACTTGGTTCGATACTTAGGTCGGAACGCCTTATTATTTGTCCCCCGAGATTTGCGAGGAAAGGCCATACAACGAGTTGAGTGATGCCCCAGGCTCGGCGAGTTTGCCAGCAAAGCATTGGCCGAGCGAGCGTGCAGCCGAAGAAACCGAGGTTTGGGCATTTGGTTGTGTTGTCTACGAGATGTGCACGTTGAGGCGAGCATGCCGGACTTCGCGCATGCAAGCCGGTGTGTGTTGTGAATGTTACACGATGCTACACCAGGCACCCTTTCGAAGCCAGAAACCAAGCTGCGCTGTTAATCAAGATCCTTCGAGGGCAGCTTCTTGGTCGCACCTGACGAGCATTGAGAGGGTGGGACTATTCTGGATATAAGCTAAAACATGCTGGAATCGTAAGATTACAATCTCACAGAAACTTTACTGAACACAAACTGTCCTCTTCTTGCTCTGTCGCACCACGAGCATCAGGATGGGTAGACCGGCAGGCAGGGTGGTCTACTGGCCGGGTGGGCAGGTAGACATTCATTTCATTCGCAGTTGCAACATTCCATCTGCGTTGAGGGACGCACTGCAGAACTTGTCATGTTTTCGCTGCACACATGATCGCTAGGCTAGGCGTCTTGAGAGAGTCAGCGGAAACGAGATTTGAAGCGCCGCGCTGAGGTTTGCTCCCATCCAGGCCTCGTATTCGCAGGACTTGCGCGAGCTGATCGACGGGTGTCTGCAGCGAGAGCCCGGAGCCACGACCGAAGCCACGATTAACTCACGAAGCAGCATCCTTGCTGCAGGCTCCATAAACGCACCCGGCTCGCAGACATCTTCGCCAGAGCAGCCGTGCAGCACCAGCCTGATTGCAACATTTGCAACGGAGTGCCAAGTAGACAACCTGCGATTCAAGAATTTAAGGTCCTGGGCTGCTCACCTTGCGATTTCGCTGGTGTGGCTGAATTTGCGGCAAGTGACCAATGCGACCACTGAAGAGTTTGCAGGAAGCCTGGAGCGGTCCCGTCAGAGTACAAACACAGAGGCCGTTTTGGTTTAGCCGCTTAGCCAGTGTCGCAATGCCGCTGTCTGGGCAGAGGCGGCCCCCACAGCCAAGAGCTGGCTCAACCGTTTCAGCCAAGGCCCTCTGCGGATATCTGCAAGTCCGCACCCTTTGAGATGCCCTCAAGGCAACGCAGGCGCGCTCTGCAAAGGGCATCCCGCGCACCAGGGCAGCGGCCTCAAAATCCTGTTCAGGCCTCGATACCTATGAGAGGTCTGAAGCGAAGTGCCGACTTCGGCGACGGCCAAGGTGAGATTGGACCCACGAGCCGGGGCGGGCCGTCGTGAGGCAAGCCGACTGCGCCCAGTTTGCAGAGATGCAATTGCAGCTGGCATGTGCCTACGCAAAGGAGGGGTCCAAGCAAACGCTAGTGGCCTTGCCGGCATGCTTCAAAGCTAGTGGACAGTCTCCAGGGCAGAAGCACAAGATGTCGGCCAGGCTCCAAAGACTCGAGCCTCAGACAGGAACGTGCTCCTGCTTCGTTTGGCCATGTCGTTTCCCTGCCGCCTTATTGTGCAAGTCTTGGCAAGGACCCACGTGGCCAAAGGCGATTCGTTGCCCGTGCATGAGCTCTGTGGATCATGCAGCCAGATGGCGGTGACCAGGCATCCAGGATGATGGAAAGCCGAAACTGCCAAGATGTGATGGTGAGAAGGCCTTCGTAATGCGATGTCTTAGGCACTTGTGCTTATGCCTCTAAAGCCGTGTCGAGGCCCGTCTGAAGGCGGAAGTTGCTGAGTTGCCCGACGTGGTTGTTGCTACGGCCAGGACCAGGCCTTCCTTTTGCGACACGTAGAATCTCAGCAAACTCACCGCATCTCCCGGCCCTCTTCGGATCATGTTTCGTGGTGAGTGTTCTTGCGCCTCAGTCGGAACGTTCCATCAGTGCAGCCGGCGACTCGGAACAGCGAACACTTGAAAACCGCATGTGCAGCAGTGCATCGTCGGAAGCGATCTTCCATCTTCCTGCTGCACTCTGCTAGCGGGCCCCAGGCAGCTGTTGAAGATGGATGACTCACCTGTGAAACGGTTGCTTCAGAGGTGCTGAGACTTTCATGATGCCGATGCATCGTCATATTCGATCAGTATGCATAACGGGTCTAAGTCTAATTTCATTGCCCGGGTGCAGGAATGGTGGGAGGCTGACGCAGGCCCTCCACAATTAGCAAAGTTGACTTGCCCTTGTTTGGGGTGCACGGAGGCTGCGCTGCAGGAAGACGCGGAGTCAATTGAGGAAGTGCACGGCTGAGGTTTTGTGCGAAGCCAGCGCTGCTGTCACTGCCGGCTCCAAGTTGGCCTCCATTGCATCAGGTAACTATTCGCCCCGAAGATACAGTTCGGCAGGCACAGGTGCGACTTGAGTACTTGCTGTCGGTAATTGTCGGTTTTGCAGCGAGTTGTTTCTCGGCATAATTTAGGGCTCTCCCAGTTCGCCTTTCTCCTGGCCTGCCTTCTGAGCCTGTGTGACCTAGCTGCGCTTCATCTAGTTCACTCCTGGCCGTGATGGTGGGGGCTGGGAGCGCGGGCTGCTGTGCAGATGCAGCACCGGTGGTGGTAGGACGGAGTCCGGAGTGCAAGCCCGGAGTCCTCACCAAGCAAACTTGGGCGGTGGAAAGCAGGGGCAACGGGGGGTCCGTGCATTCTGCATCAAGATTGATGGTTCGTTACTCTAGCTCCCTGATTAAGAGTGTTGAGTTTTAAGGCATACATCCACCCCAGTTTAACACCTAGTAATGAATTACAAACGCAGCTGTGTCTGGAAAACGTCGGTAGATTGTCGGGAGCAAACTTCTACAGACTTGGCTGCAACCGTTTCACGTGTGGTTGCAAACAGGATGTAACATCCATTTTCCATGATCTCCGGTGCTCTGCCATGCACTTTATCGAAATTTCTGCTACTTCCACATCCACAGAAGGGCTTCTGCCCGCCTCATTAGAAGTAGTCCTCAGGCTGGATCTGACGAGATCAGGGAAGAGCTGGAAGCTCCCGATTCTGATTGGGATGGCCGGGAGCTTCATGGAGTGCAGCGTGAGAGATCCGAAAATCCGCCCCGTCAAACATGTCGTGGGAGCCAAGGCGATGCCGAAGTCACGCACCAGAGCGTCTTCGAGGTCCTTCCGCGTGCACGGAACATGCGCTGGCTTGGGAAATCACGGAAATCTTAGGAACAAGCTGCAGCCATCGAGTGACAAAGCCTTCGGTTCGATCGCCGTTTTGGATTTCTTTGCTCTGCCTGTTTCACCCCTTAATACCCCTCGCCTCGGCAATTCTCGGCATGCCGGCTGACGTCCTCGCCTCTTGTGGCCTCAACTGGGCGGGGCCTTCTTTGGGGCATCTTTGGAAGAATCATCACGGAGAACGACGAAGGGGACGACGCAGCAGTTGCCAGGGCAGAACATGGCAGAACAATCTCGGCCGCTTTTTCCGGGACTTTGCTTCCGAGCTCATCCTTGCTTTGCAGTCGCCATATGGCGTCTACCGTCTATCTTACTTACGGCAATCGCCCGAGCTTTGGACACCAGGCCTGCGGAGGAGGCTGCACGTTTTGAGCTGCCAAGCCACCGCGTGGTGCATCGGGGCATTTCGTCCACAAAAGCAGCGGGACCACCCGCACGTCCTTCGCCAAGCTCGTGGCACTCCTCTAAAGCCCAGGCCTCGGCCCACGCCCAGATCGACAAGGCACTCCGCGCTGAGCGCTCTCGCCGAAGTTTATGCCCACGCTGGCAGCAGGTCGTCAAGCCCCGAGCAAGCACGTTCAACGAGGCCGGATGGACTGCAACTCCGATTCCCGCCGCCCGGGGAAGGGTATAAACGCCTTGGATTCCTTCTCGCCCAGGTCCTCGCTTTGGTCACTTTCTCCCGCACTGGATCGTCTTTGTCGCCGGCAGATCGTTCAACTCCATCCTGGGGCCTGGCCTGAACACCCGCCTGCCTGGGCGGAGAACTGGACCATACTGGACCTGGGCCCATGGACGACGTGACGTCATCCCTGCGTGGCTACGGTCGAAATCGACTTCACCTGACACGTGGCCCCGAAGAGGCTTCTCGACTTGCGCAGCTTCGCACTTCGACCAAAACCACGGACTCTACGCCTGTAGCTTTTGGCTTTCACGGCGTTAACGCGGTGCTTGTTCAGGAGCACACGCAGTGTGTGTAGAAACAATGTGCCAGCGATCGTCGATTAAACCTGCGCTCGCCACCCGTCTATTTAATATGTTTTACTTGCAAACCTTCCATGAAGATGCTCTTCCAGTACACCGACAGTACACCGACGGGGTGATTGATTTCTGCAGTGACTCACAGATGTGCTTCCGCATACATGGTGTTTGAACCGTTGCGTTGCACGCCTTGTCGACGGCCGCTATCGTAAGGTTCAAGAGGCGCTGATGTTGCGATACCGATACATTACATTCAGGTTCTGGCAAGAGACCATGCCCAAGCCGGCTGACTTGGAGGTCCAGAGCCCCAAACCGCCCCATACGGTGCAGCTGCTTGAGCACGCGTCCACTACGCATCCTGAGCATAATGTCCGACTCAATACACAAGGCAGCCGGCAGGCTTAGTGTGTGCGGTGCAGCCTTGATTTGAGCTCGTAGAGTAGGCAGTGCGTCATTGCCTGTTTGGAGCTGCCGTGTTCGAAGGGGGTATCAGTTTGCTGTTTAGGGAATCGACCGCTCGCACGAGCCGTTTGTTGACGACCGTACAGTCAGATGCCGGTGTTGTCGTCTCCGCTAGCCGGAGCATAGTTTTGCCTCTTGTAAAGGCTTTGCGAAGGGTGGTACAGGTTGAGGCCACGGGGGGGTAGACATGTCTCTCATGAAAAAGAGTGGGCACGGATAGTGGATGCAAGCTCTTTCTTTCTTCAACGCCCACGCGTCATAGACGCTCGGTCGCCGTTTCAGTCCGACAGCAACTCTCGAAGCAAGCATGATTCATCCACTCTGGCGAAAAGACGGGCATGCTAGCGGATTGAATCATCAAAAGGCTCGCTAAAACTACATCGTGGTGGAGATTTGTGAGATGGTTCTTCGGAAGTTCTTCGCGATGCCAACTATGTCAGGCTTTGTTGTGTAAGGTTTCGAGAACAATGAGATAATAATAAGACATGATCAGATTCACACTCCACGTAACGTGACCTTACAACCTCACCGTCGTAATCTTGCACATCCTTGACAGGACTCGCTTCTCTACACTGGCACATCTCTGTGTGACGATGGCGATGGCAGCCCCACCAGTCTTTGACTTATGTTGCCAGACAGTCCTCAAATCGATAGTGCGCCTGTTCTCTTTCACAAGTCGTTGCGGCCCATCCTGTAGTGAGCATAGTTACCGGTCTTCGATTAGGGTAATTTGAGTTAATAGCATGATGCCGCACGTGCCCAAGCAAGGTCGATTTGAGCTTGAATGGAGCGCAGAGGAGGTATCCTGCTCAATCAGCAGTAAGTGGCTGCACAAAGCTTATCGCGACCAGTGTGGAGGAGCCGTTTGCTCTGACTGCGACACTCGACGACGGACTCCTTTGCGATGCTTGTGACCACCGCTTTTTGGAGCCATCTCGAAAACAAGAGGCTCGCCCCGTTGTTCTTGGTGCAAGTTGATCTGCAAACAAATTGACTGAGCCACCTTCATCGAAAGCAATTACTTTGGTAGCTTAGCATTGGGAACGGACTTCTCAGACGCTAGGTTCGCATGTTTGTGAACCTGCCGGAAGTGCGATGCGGCTGGGCCAGTCACCCTGCCATGGACCCGAAGACCCGGTATCAAAGGAAAGTCGCGATTGTCGCGGAAGAGTTGGGCCGCCGACCCGGAGCGCGGAACGCGCGCTTTGTCCATGTGGCCCATGCGCAGTAGCGAGAGAGCTGAGCAGCGCATCTGGATGGGTGGCGTGGAGGCCAATCAGTGTAAACGAAAACGATGGCAATTTCGCAGTAATTTCGCCGAAAATCGTGTGTCGGGCAGTCTTCTTCAAGAGAGAATCCTGTTGACGGGCTGCGCGAGGGAATTCAAGATCAAACTCCAAATTGTAGAGATTGGTCAGCGGGGCAGCGAGGACTTTTGTTTGCATATCCAGCGACAAGTCGCCAGGTCCCTGGGGCCTCGAGTTTCTGGCGACCAAAAGATACCAAAAGTGCAGGGCTTGGAAGATAGCGCGACGGGTCTCGGCTGCCCCGTTTAATGGAGCCCATCCTGCCAAATCTATGACTGGACCATGCCAGGAAGTGTACAGTATCAACCGTCTCAGGTCTGGATTTCTTCTCTTACCTCAAACTTTTTACAGCAGACACTTATCGGTGATTGAAAAGTAAAGCCCTGCAGAAGGCGCCTCAGCATCATAGCCCCAGTTAGATGCCAAACCCGGCAACTCTGTTGGCGAGCTGTCACATCAGAAAGCAGAAGCGACACAAGTCGCCAAAGCGAAAATTGTGATTACTGCATCCAACTGAGAGCATCTGTCTGGGCAGAAGCTTTTCGAAGACAGCTGCTGTCCAGGAAGATGTGGAAGAAGAAGGCCCAACAACTTCCAATCCATCTCCAGTTGTGGAGGCGCCCGGAAGCGAGTGGCTGCTGAAAATAAGCAACATCTACAGTTTGCAGGAGTCTCGCTGAGAGAGAAGACAAGCTTTACAGACTTACGTTGCGAAGTCTGCGTCCCTAACTTGCCCGACCACTCCTCTCACAGGGCATCCCCACGAAACAAGAATTTCGCAGGAGCTGGAGCCCACAATCGTGGAGGATCAGCCTGTTTCGGCTTCGGGCAGCAGGCGTTTGAGCGAAAGAGCTGGCCGAGCGGAAGCTGAACTTGCGAGACTCACTTCCCAAATCAACAGATTGTGCCCTGCCTCATGTAGACAATGCTTTGCGGTATCATTGATCGAGTTCTCGGATCGTGCAAGGTACTCGGATGTCGCTCGAGACCTCGATGCCGGTGCTCGTGCGGTTTGGGATGAGCTGTATGCGCTGTTTCAGGACATCCGATGTTGATTTTGCAATTCAGATTCTCGCGCCGCTAGTTTAGATGGGCGATTGTGTTGAATATCTTAAATTGAAACCCGACTCTCCAGTGCTGAAACTGTGGTGGACCTGGGTAGGGCGAGTTGCGATGCAGAGTCGGCTCGGGGTCTGCGGATTGGGCTCTACATCCCGATCTTAAGGTCGTTCAGGCCAATGCTCTCCCGTTCGAGAACTGAGACTCGCTTGAAAGTGCCAAGACAGTCAACAGCCGAGAAGTGGGTGCCCTGGTACGCTTGATCCATATTCCCACATACTAACATGCTTGCCAGAATTGCCATTACGACAACCACCGTGGCAGTTAGTCGTAGAGTAGTCGTACTAGTAGTAGCAGAAGCAGAAGCAGAAGCAGAAGCAGAAGCAGTAGCAGTAATAGTAGTAGTAGTAGTAGTAGTAGTAGCAGCAGTAGTAATCAGTAGTAGTACTAGTAGTAGTAGTAGCAGCAGTAGTAGTAGTAGTAGTAGTTGTTGTAGTTGTAGTAGTAGTAGTAGTAGTAGTAGTAGTAGTAGTAGTACTCGTAGTAGTAGTGGTGGTACTATTACTACTACTACTACTACTACTCCTACTACTACTACTACTACTGCT